TCTTTCTTTCTTTTTTTCCTTTTTGGGTCACACCCGGCGTGCTCAGGGGTTACTCCTGACTCATGCACTCAGGAATTACTCCTGGCAGTGCTCCGGGGACCATATGGGATGCTGGGAAGAAGCATCAGTACAATGAGGGCTGCGAGAGAAGGTCGTGCCAGGCCCACGTCAATCACTATTTTAAGAGAGTTTAGAGCTGTGCAAACCCAAAGAAAGAATGGGCTGTTTACCAGACAACTGGGGAAACCGAGTATAGTGAGACCCCGAGGGTTCTGAGGTCACTGTGACCTGAGATGTGGTTATGGAGACCTAAGTTTCTAGAGAGATTCAACAGGAACACACGGGGCAGCAGTGTCAAGCTCTCAAACGCTCCCAAATGCCCCAGGAGCAAGTGAGCAAAAGCTCCAGTGGAGGGGGGGGGGGGTGAGGGGTGAGGGGGACCCGGGCGGCCTTCACTCTTCTCTCGACACAGACATGGCCGAAACTGTCAAACGCTGGGGAGGAAAAAAAGCAGCGACTCTGACTTCGTAAATACTCCCAAGAATGTCACAAACTGCTCTTCGTTCTTCTGTTAAGACATTCTAAAAATTCCCTTCATAGCCTTTTAATTACAGAATCCGATAATACACACCTGACTTCCCTAACAGCCCCCCCAGGGACAAAGTCATCATCAGGCTGATAATAACACTCACGGGACGGGGGGCGGGGGGAGCAGGGGCTAAGGCAGTCGGTGGCCTCGCATGCGCTGACCCCGGTTCGATCCCTAGCACCGTGTAGTCCCTGGAGCACAGCCAAGACTTTCAGGCCCCGAGCACCACATCCTGAGACCCTCCCATGGCACTGATCTCTTGAGCACTGCTGGGGGATCCCCTCACCCCTCAAGAATACTTTTCAAATCTCACCCTTGCTCAGATTCACACCGCCTCCAGGAGACGCCACAGTTCACCAATGGCCACCCAGCTTCAGGGCCGCCAAGAACAGGAGGCCGGGCGTGCACGGTGCCCCAGAGCTCCCCAGCCTCCTCCGGCCACTCCCATGTGTCCTGGCGCGTGGGCAAGGCCTGGATCCCGGAACTGAGCCCGACGCTCGTGTGGCTCAGTCTGAAGCTCTGTTCAAACACTGTCCTGGGACACGCGTGGAAAACTAACACCAGCCAGGGCAGGGAGAGGAGCCCCAGAGGGGTCGTGGTTAGAGGACATGGGTACGGCTAGGGGTCAGAAGTCAGTAGGTGCTGGGTGGGGTTGGGGTCAAAGGGCGCTGGGTGGGGGTTGGGGTCAGTGGGTGATGGGTGGGGTCAGGGGGTCAGAGGGTACTGGATGGGGTTTGGGGTCAGAGGGTGATGGGTGGGGTCAGGGGTCAGAGGGTACTGGGTGAGAGTAGGGGTTCAGAGGGTGCTGGGTGGGGTTTGGGGTCAGAGGGTGCTGGGTGGGGGTCGGGGGTCAGAGGGTGCTGGGTAGGGTTAGGGGCTGGAGGTCAGTGGGTGCTGGGTGGGGTCAGGGTTCAGAGGGTACTGGATGGGGTTTGGGATCAGAGAGTGCTGGGTGGGGGTCGGGGGTCAGAGGGTGCTGGGTAGGGTTAGGGGTCGGAGGTTAGTGGGTGTTGGGTGGGGTCAGGGGTCCGAGGGTACTGGATGGGGGTTAAGGGTCAGAGGGTGCTGGGTGGGGTTGGGGGTCAGAGGTCAGAGGGTGGAGATGGGGGTTAGAAGAGCCCTGGAAGCTGGCTGCGAGGTGACCCGGTCCCACTGTCCCTCAGAGGCCTCCCAGAAAGCCTCTGCAGGTGCTGCTGTTAGGGAGCCCTGTGACCCCCACTATGGCCTCTTATCACAAGGTGGCGGGACTGCACCCAGGAGCCCCCAAAGATGCTCACACCCTGACACCCAGCACCTGTGGGCATGTGGCCACAACCAGAGCTCCACAGCGGGGCGCAGCCGGGCAGGCCTGTTGATGGCCCCCCTACCCCGGCCCGGGGCATGCAGAGGCAGGGCCCCCGCTGCCACCCGCACAGGGCTCCCTCCTGCCCCACCAGGGGGAAAGGGGGCAGCAGTGCTGGGGGTCTGCCTCGAGGGGAAGGGGCTCCCTGTGACCCAGAGAGTCTGTTCCCCGGGCTGGGTGGGGTCTTGCAGGGGGCAGGAGAGAATGAGACGCACTCAGCCCCTAAGGCCGGATCTCCCCCCAGCTCCCACCTGGACTCAGACGCCTCCTTCCTCACCAACCCCCACCAGGGGTGAACTCCTAGACACCTGCCGAGCACTGACCCCCTGAGTCTTCTCAGGGGCTACGTGCAGAGAGCCGACACTCGCCTCCACGTCCCACAGGAAGGAGCTTTCTCGTGGGTTCTCTCAACCTTCCCCCAAACCCTACTGTGAGGTCATTTTCTTGTCCATTTTCTAAATTTGAAAGCTCAAAATCAGGGGCTGGAGAGACTGCACTGGGGTTCACAGGTCCAATCACCCAGCACCACCAGGAGGAAGCCCCGGGCACCGCTGGGCGTGCCCCAGACAGGGAGAGTTCAACATCAGACGCCAGCGCGGACCCAGTCCCAGAGGCCGCTTGGTGCTGGCCCTGCTGGGAGCAACCCCTGCCCCCGGCACCAGCTTCCAGGGCACCCCAGCAAACAAAGGCTCCTCTCCCTGCCGCCCTGTATATGAACCAAAGGCGTCAGAACATCGCGATCCTGGTCCTGGTCCGGAGCAGGGGGCCACCGTTGGCAGGCGCCGCGTGCAAAGCACGGAGCAACCAAGTCCACTGGGCACCAGTGGCACAGGGTGTGGCTCACCTGGACCCTGGCTGCTTCCCACGTGGGGGGCTCTGGGGTGTCACACCCGGCCCCGGAGAACTGGTATCACAGGTCACGGGCGTTGCCCCTCACTGCTCCACGCCCGCTGGGAGCCCTCGGGCCGGTGAGGGTCCTGCTGCCGCCTGGGAGCAAGAGGGAGGAGGCGTGGGGAAGGAAGGGGAAGGTCCCCACTTCTCAAGCCCCCAGAAGAGCAGCTGCCCCATCTCTCCCTGGGTGCGGGAGCAGAGAGAAAGGTTTGGCTACCTGGCAACCTTTGGGGTGGGCATTTCCGAGACGCCCCCCAGGGTTTCTCGAGTCGGCAACACGCTCTGCCAACTCATGCCCTGGGAAAGCCACCCCGCTGCTCAGCCCTCTGAGAGCCTCGGGGCCAGGGCCAGGGGCCAGGGTGAGGCCAGCGTTGGCCCTTCCGGGAGAAAGTGGGCCAGCCCAGGCCGTCCTGATTTAAAGAGACAGCAGGCAGCCCACAGTCTAAAGGGCAACCGGGCACTGCTTTAGAAAACGGGCCGGGAGAAGACACCACAGTGGCCTGAGCTGGAGGGGACCTTGGCCACTATGCCATGGCCACCAGAAACTGCCCTTTCAGGCCACTCTGTGAATGCCAGCCTGCGGTTAAACAGCAACTGCTTTTCCAGATGTATTAAGTCTCCTCCCCCTGCACGAGGCAGTGGGTGTTGGACTATCCCCTCACCCACTCCCTTTTGCTTTGCAGTATGAGGGAATCAAACTCCCCAAGGCACTGCACCATTGATGATGCTCCCCCCCACATTCCCCTTCCCTCTCTGATGCAGGGGGCAGGACACTTGTCCTGCATGTGTCACATCCTGGTTAAGGTCCCTGGTGCCCGGCCAGGAGGTACCCCTGAACACAAGCCAGGGCTGAGTCCTGAGCCCTGCCTGGTGTGGCCCGGAAACGAAAACCCCAGACTCTTGCTTTTATGTTTTTTTTAATCTCCAGCCTTTCCTCTCCAGGTACCCCCTCCCAGCTGCGCCCGCCTCTCACCCGTGCTCCAGAGAATCTCCACCCGGCTGGACAGTGCCCTTGTCCTTCCCAGCCGCCCGCAGCTCCCGCCCTCTGACCTTTGGCTGGGGCCCGCGTGCTGGCGCGCCCTGGGCTTTCCCCAGCAGTGTCCAGGAGAGAATGGACTCGTTGCACCCCTTGCACCCCGAGCCCCGCCCGCAGGTGGGCGCAACCTGGGCGGGATGCCCGGACAACTCCTGGCACCTGCTCGGGCAGGAGTGACCCTTAATTAAGTCACTGCGTGGACAGACAGGCCCATATACCATATATATATTTTTAAATGGGGTGTGTGGGAGCGGGGAGGAGCAGTAGGGCCACACCCCTACCGTTACTGGTAGGGATTCTTGGGGTCACCCCAGCGCAAGGCAGCCCCAGACACCCCTCCCCACCCCCCCCCACCCCCCCACCACCAGTAGCGGCGGTCTGCCAAAGCCGGTTGGGCAGGTTCTCAGAAAAGATCCAAAAAGATTTTGGAAAAACAACTAGGCCCTCCGGGTTTGGCTGTTCCTTTGCTGGACCTTTCCTTGGTCCCCTTGCCAACAGGGGCACACAGCCTCATACTGGGGCGCCGCCCCCCACAGGGGGCCCTTCCAGGGGCTGCACTTGAGCGTCCAGGGAGGTCGTCGGAACGTCCAGCGGATCTAACCAACCCAGCCAGACAAGCCCCAGGTGACCCTCACGCCGGCTCAAGCGGCGGCCGCCTCCACCTCTGCGCCCCCCCTCCTTGGCAAAGTCAGAGTCCAAAACACGTCCCCGCCCCGGGTTCACCCACTGGAACTAACGGCGTTTTTGAAAAAAAAAATTGCAATTTTGTAAAAATGCAGCTTTTGTTCTGGCGGGATTGTGGAGTTGGGGGGCTGCAAGGGGACGGTGGGGGAAGCGGGGGCCTAGGGCGGGGGGCGGATGAGGGCCACGGCGAGGGGGGGTCAAGGGCTGGCGCGCTTTTGACCAGGTTCCCACGCGCTGCCCCGGGTCGAGGGCGGTGGACAGGACGGGAAGGGACGCGCCTGGGCGTCCCTCTGGACCTGGGCGTCAGAGGCGGCTGCGGCCGAGCGCTCCGGGCCCCGGGGCCCCGGCTAACCCGCTTCCAAGTCCGAGCCAGAGCGGTTAACCGCCGCGGCCCCGCCCCTGGCGCCCCCCGAGCCCGCAGGGTCCAGCGCAGCCCCCGGGACCGCACCGCGCCTCACCTGCCCCGGCCGGCCAGAGCGGCCCGGCCCGCCGAGCGGAACCGCCCCCGCCGAGGCCGCCCCCGGCCGCGCCCCCTGCAGGCGGTACGAAGTAGCGGCCCAGCCCCGCGCGGGCTCACCTGGGCGCACCGCCCACCACCTCCCCGGGCCGCAGCGGATACTCGCATCTTCCTGCAGCCCCTCGCAGGGGGGAACTCTGTCTGTCTTCAGTTTTTGCCCCTTGCTTGGACGGGGGTTTAATCTGAGAACCCCCTCCCCACATCAGGACCCACTGTATTCGCTCCGCAGCCGACCTGGCTTTGATCCCTGGCACCCCATCTGGTCCCCGAGCACGGCCAGGTGTGGTCCTGAGCGCAGAGCCACCCTGAGCACTGCAGGGTGTGGCCCCCAAACAACATCCCCCCCCCGCCCCGAAAAATAGGAACGCCGTGAGAATTTTTCTCTGAAGATTGTCTTTCTGGTTTTAGTCATGTTACTCTCAGGATCCAGGTGACAGATCTGGGACAGAGATGTAGAGGGGACACTTGTCCTCTCTTCCCCCAATATAAATATTTAGGTACTGATAATTGGACAAACCGTTATCCTTTATGGTAAGGTAAATAAGGAAACAAAACCCTGGTCCCTGTGCGGGTCCCACTGCCACACACAGACCCTCTGCATCAGCCAGCGACTCTTCTGGAATAGTTAAGCGTCTTATATTTATATTAAATGCACGTGTTACATAACATGTACATATTAGGCATCCAGTGTATTACTTTGATACATTTATGGTCATACTATGATGACTATTTTTTGGTTTTGTTCGGGGGCCACTCTCAGGGATCACTCGTGGCTCTCAGCTCAGGGCTCACTCTGGCCTTGCTGGGGTTGGGGGAATTACATGCAGTGCTGGAAATCAAACCAGGTTCGTCTGTGTTCAAGAAAATCACCCCACCCGCTGTACTATCTTGCCACCCCAGAGGATGACCATTTTTGTTATTTAAGACCATGCAGGTAGTTGCCCTATCTGTTTTTCCGGACTTGGATGTAATAAAGGAGGTGCCTGGTTTATCTATTTGGTGAGATATACTCTGCTTGGTATTGTGTGGAGAAGCCTGGTCTCATCTCTCTGTCACCTGCTTGTCTCCAACATCACAGGTATCACACAATAGATGGGAAAATATTTTCTATATCTCTTGGCACTTACAATGTGAATTAAACAGCAGAATGGGGAGATCACACATAAGGAGTTTGAAATAAAACTGAGGAGCTCGATTAAATCTACTGAAATATTATCCCAGTATCCAAGTAAATTACTATAAGAGCCCTCATTGGCTTCAAAATAACCTGCAAAACCTAAAAAGACTGCATGTTTTGTGTAGTTCATGTAATTAAGAAGGAGTTTGCCTATTTTTATGCTTAAAAAATTTCAGAGAATAAAAAGTGCCTTGCAACACATGAAAATGATCAATTCAAACTTCAGTGTCTATTAAGAAAAAAAGGAGTGGGAGCTTCAGAGATAGTGCAAGGGTTAAGGTACTTGCCTGGCATGCAGCCAACTCCAATCCACTCCCCAGCAATGAATATGGTCCCCTACCAGCATAGCCAGGTGTGGTCAAAATACCCCCCCCCCATACCCCCCTACACACACCAAACAAACAAAAAAATCTTAAAAAAAAAACTCTATACATGGGATTTACAAATTGGGTCCATTAGGCAAATGTTTGTGCAGAAAAGGGAAAAAACATGTATACATGTATATCTCAAATGATTGGATTCCTTGTTTCCATTTCTAAAAGTGGTTCAAAAGAATTGTTCAATTGGAAGGCAGCCGACCAATTTTTTTTAATTCTTTCAAGTTATTTTACTCAGTACAATAGGTCTCATTGCTAAGCAATTTCCAGGGAAAGGAAATTAATGAACAGAGAGAACCCACTTCACAAAGCTAAGTTCATTCACATTAAGTCCAATCACGGTATTTCTAGAATGAATGGGTGCCTTCAGGATGATATGCCTTGTTGCCAGATACTTAAAAATAAAGCATGGACCTTTTCTCCCCCAAGACACATAGCACCTTTTCTGTGGAATTTCCCAAACAATTACAATTGAGATGACTTAGGCTGTCCTTAAACATCTTCTTTAGAAATAATAAGCAAAAAGACTAGAATAATGCACTATAGAAAATTATCTCATTTGTTTTGGTGAATGATTCTGTCATTATGAATAGAAGAATAATTGTAAGAATTCTCAGAAAAGATAAGCTGATTTGCGCCAAATAGATGCTTCACCAGAATGGGAAGCTAATTACATTGAAAAGCCAGTCAGGTTGCAAGTTGATCTCTAGACAGTACCTTCGCTCACCACCTTCTCCTTCCCCTCTTCTCCCCTTTATACTTCTCCTTCATTGCTGTGCTGGGGATCAAACCCATGCAAAGCAAATCCTCTACAGCCACATGATACCCTCACCTGCCACTGTTATGCTTCAAGCCAGAATCATGGTATTGGTCCTGCTATGCAGACAGTAGCTTTTTTTTTTTTTTTTTGCTTTTTGGGTCACACCCAGCGATGCACGGGGATAACTTCTGGCTCTTCACTCAGGAATTACTCCTGGCGGTGCTTGGGGGACCCTATGGGATGCTGGGAATCAAACCCGGGTCAGCTGCATGCAAGGCAAACGCCCTACCCACTGTGCTATCACTCCAGCCCCCTTAAGAGAGAAATGAAGCTTACCTGGTTCCTGGAAATATAGATAATGGTGGAAAAAATGTAGCTTGGGCCCCAGAGCCGTAGGCAGTAAATGCCCGGCACAGGAGGACACTGCTCCGTCCGGCCTTAGACTGACCAGTAGGATCATTTCCGTTATACACATCTGCAGAGGCGCCGTCGGGTGAACACCAGGACTGGATACCAGAGTGCCTGACCCTTTCGGAAATGCATGTGATGCGGCCTAATAACGCTTTTCATGCTTTGTGTGTGTGTGTTGGGGTGGGCGGAGGATGGAAGGGAAGGGAAGAAAAGAGAAAGGGAAAGAAGGGGAAAAGGAAGAAAGAAAAGGAAGGCAGGAAACAGTAGGAAGAGATGGAGGAAGGAAGAAAGGAAGGAAATAATTTTCTGTGGCCACTTAAGCAACTCCACGGTCAGAGCACAAACCAACCTTGGGCGTGTGGAGGCCTGAGCTCTAACTCCCGTCCCACACAACAGGCACCAACTGGTATGGCCCCAGCAGCCCCGGAACTGCCTCCTGGGGCTGAGCATTGAACTGTGCCATCCGACTGGCTGGGTATCACTGGGAGAGCCCCCCACGGCCCCTCCCCAGTAAAGCAGTGCTAAGCCCAGGGGATGGGCTCCGGGGAGCCCTGGTCTGTGGCCTCTGCTGCCTGCGCTGGCGAGTGAGCCCCTGGGCAGTTGAGGCTGATGCTGTCATAGGACGAGGCCATGACCCATGGGCGACCCCAGCACCAAGCAGGGCTTGGACCCAGTAGGGATGAACAGTTGGCCAGACTGGGAGCGTGCACACCAGAGCACCCCACTGGAGGCAGGCTTTGGAGACTGAGGCGAGGTGGAGGTCGGCCGGGAGCAGCGGCTAAGCCCAGGCAGGGCTGCAACCGAGGGTCCAACTCGTGTTGGGCTGCAGAAGGGACGTGGGGGCTTTTAGTGTCAGCCTGTGCACCCGATGACCTTCCCAACGCGTCCCAGTGCCCCTGGGAGGGAGACAGGCTGCCTCTTTGCACCAGGTGACCTGGGTTCCCCCTAACACAGACAGCAACATGTCCAAGAGGCCAGGCCTGTCCAGAGCAAGGTTCCTCAGCAGAGGAGGAAGCAGTAAGCTGTGAGGGCTGAGGTGCTTGCCTTGCACACAGCTCATCCTGGTTCCATCGCCACACAGAGGCTCCCGACAGCAGTGACCTCTGAGCACGGCTGAGTGTGGCCTCTGCCCTCCTAAAACAACTGTCACCCACCAAAGGAATGCTGGTACATCTTTAGCCAGCCCCTGGAGAAAGCGGGGAGGTCACGGTGTGGTCAGGCTGTGGTCATCTCTCACCACAGCCTGAGGACCAAGGATGCCTCCTTTTTCCTCTGAGATGCCTCATCAGAATCAGAAAATCCACCCAAATATTCTATATCCACAAGGGCACGAGAACGGCAAAGATCCTGACATTTTACAACATACTGTTTTTAACACACAGACACGGGGGGCGGAGAGATAGGACAGTGGGCAGGGCGCTTGCCCTGCACCTGGCTGACCTGTGTTTGATCCCCCGCACCCCAAGTGGTCCCCTGAGCCCCACCAGGAGTGGTCCTTGAGCCCAGAAGCAGGAACAAGCCATGAGCACCACCAAATGAAGGCCCCAAACAAACAAAAACTGATCTGGGAATCCAGCATGATTCTGGCCATGGAGGAGCACGGTGTGGCCTTGGGGCTCGTACCATGGATGAACATGCAGGAGGAGGTGGGCACGGCCTAGCCAGAGAAGAAAGGGGAGCTTGGTTTGCCCTCCCCCTTTCTATCCCCCAAAGCTTGAATCCAGCTGGGCTATGTATGCTGCAGCCCCGCTATCAAAAGACCACCCCCTCTAAGGATGGTTTAATCATCAGCTCTGCACGTGGGTGCACCCAGCTTCATGCTGTCACCAGTGCATCCTCCTCCGGGGAGCACAGAGACAAAGACCCTCCCCACTCCCCATTGGACTCAAATGGTGCTGCCCAAGGGGGGTTCTCACAGCCTCTAGAGCCGGGGACCAGGCAGACCCCAAAGTCCCAAAATCAGTCTCCAACGCAAGTAAGGTGCTGGCCTTGCACGTGGCTGGCCTAGGTTTGATCCCCGGCATCCCTGATGGCGCCCTGAGCCCCCACCAGAAGTGATCCTTGAGGGCAGAGCAGGAATAAGACCGGCATATTGCTGGGTGCGTCCCCCGCCCAATCAAAATCCTAAATCAATCCAGGTCTCCTGAGCTGCCCGGTGGCTGTCTCGGAACAGCTCGCCTGCCCTCTGCCTTCCTCCATGACTCTGTGCACCAGCACCTCATTGGCTGAGACCTGTTTTCTTGAGCAGCCC